CATGTCGAATCGAAACAACTACTGGTTTTCTCTTGATTCGTTCGGAAGTTCGCTCTTTCGGACGAAGTCGGCCAGTGCGTATTATAATACCGGCCTGTTTCGCCAGCCGAAAGCTCCCTTTTCTCGATAGATGATCTTTCGTGCGCGTGACACGCAACGGGCATTAAGTTACAAACGAAACGAGCTTTACCGCGTTCCTCCCCTTCGAAGGGAGTCGCGGATTCATTATACAAATGAAAAAAAAAAAAATAAAAAAAATAAAAAATAAAAAAAAAGGAACAAGGAAGAAAGAAAGAAAGAAAGAAAGAAAGAGGAAGAAAGATATGCGCATTACAAAAGAGTTTATATATATGATTGAACCGGTGTACACTCGTTTAGTCGTCTTAACGTAGTTATGCGACGACGACGGGGATCAGTTATAAGGCAAGAAGAAAGAAAGAAAGAAAGAAAGAAAGAAAGAAAGAAGCAAAAAAACGTAAATCCAAATCAACAAAGAGTATATTTACTATCGTGTGACTATATTATATTACGGAGAGAATCAAACGTGTGTTGCGTGTAGCATCGAAGATGTGCATACGTTTTATCGACGAGAAACGGCGGTACATGCATACACAATACAATATAAATAAGGGAACCACGTAGACTGAGTAAATGCAATATATATGTACGATGACCGTTCGCCATGTTGTTGAGCCGTTGAGCTGTTGTCAAGCTGTCGAGCCTGATTCGAAGTTATGTAGTAGCGTAATAGGGAGCCAAGGTGGAAAGAAGTCCGCGGTTAAGGCGAAGAGAGAAGGAGATGCAGATAGTTAATGGGGAAATTAACGGAACGGGACATGCAATTCTTGAAAGACTGCAGAGGGACGGTTTTAACGACACCAAATACAAGATAGTACTGACATTGGATAGACTGAAGGCACTTTAGTAGTAACTTAACGCCATATCGTACTGTACCGTACTCTATTGAACAAAAACATTCTGTGCTTAGCCAGTACAACTGGACACAGTTTTACTGATATATATTCTATATATTCTGTATATTATATATATTGTAATATTAGAACGCATGGGATTTTTATCGGGATTGCCCACGTACATACGATACGTTCGTTTTACTTCTTGTTTAACTTGAAATAACTTGAAATCGAAATGAATCGTGGGTGAAATATCTCTATATACGTGTATTTGTTCCGTGTGGGGGCAAGGGGGGGGGGAAGAGGCAAACAAAAAAAAAATATACGCGTTCGGGACGATATACTATTAAATTTGTTACATAAATTCATAATCCATTAAAAACTGATCGTTATATCGTAGATTCTCTTTTTGTAAATATTAAATTCTAAATAACGTAAGATAAGGATGTGTGTGTCCAGGGTCATAGAAATTATCGTTGTTAAAAATATATCCTTGTCTTACTTGTTACGAGTTTTACGCAGTCTATCTGAAGCATAATTTTATTGTATTTAATTCAGAAGAATCATGTTTGAAATGGACAAAGGCGAAAAAGAAAAGGGGGCGGGGGGGGGGGAACAAAAAAGGAAAAAAAAAAAAGAAACGAAAGAGAGAAAGACAAAAATATAGAGTTCTTTTGGTCATCGAGGCTACAGCGTGCACGCGCAAACAGTCGAGTCGATGATCGATTATACTGTTCAAAAGGGATACGGCTACAGTGATGGTACATAGGCTTAGTCGTGAGAGACAGCACTAAAATACGATTGTAGCTTACCTATATTTTGCACTTTACACTTTGTCGAATCCTCTCTAGTCGGACCTTCGTTCATAGATCGATTCTGTTAGGGTTATTATGAACGACATGCATGAATCGGAGAGGAAGCGAAACGATTTATATACAAATTTTTTCACTAGTTGGGCATAGACATTAGACGACTAGAGGCTATATAATAATAATTATGAATATTATTACTGCTACTATTAATTAATTGATAATCGTAACGGAGACCTTCGTTGTTATTTTAATGGCGTGGGATGAAAAGCGAGAAAGGTGAAAGCGGTGAACAGCAAAAAGAAAAGAAAAGAAGAGAAACAGGACACGACGTGATTTTCTACGATCTTGTGTCCGAATTATCGCCCACGATTGACCAGTGTTGTTCGTTCGTTATTCAAGAGATATCTAGCGTTGCAAAGATGAAAAAAAAAAAAATTTTTTTTTAGTTGTAAGGAATACGGAGCGATCGAGAGAGATCGATCACTTCTGGTGACGCAATTACGCGTACTTTTAGGAAGATAGAAGGATATATTATTAGTTAGGCAGGCAGCAATGATTAGAGGCGTAGGTAAAATAAAGCAAGCAACAAGAAAAAAAAAAACGTAATAAGAAAACGATAGAAAGAGAAAGAAACTAAAGGCATATATATATATATCTATACGGATGTTTTAGTATTTCTGACGTAATGGACCGTGCCGCTGACTTGCAAATCGATATGCTCTCAGGTCAATTATCTTCAAAATTTTTAACTTTTATGGACCAAAGAACATCCATCGTGTTCCGTGTCGATGGATTATTTTCGGCGAGAGGAAAAGACGTGTGCGTGTGCATTCTTTCGCTTTGTTTTATCTTACTTTATCTTGCTTTTTTTCTGTTTGATGTAAAGAAAGAGAGAAAGAAAATTTTATGAACGGGAGAGGGAGGGGGGAGAGAGAGAGAGAGAGAGAGAG